CATACCTAAGCTACGCTTAGAAAATTAAGATGCGTTAAGAATTGATGCAAATTTAATTGGCTCTTTCGAAGCTTATAATTTATTAACATTTTAAGGCTGCAATTACGCGTACCGCCTTCGACGTTTACAGCCATCTACTATGATTGGAGGATCTTTAGCTTAAACTTTGTTGGAAAGAGAAAAAAGAAAAAAAAATCTGGGAATACTATCAGCAAAAAGACGAAAATCAAAAATAGATTAACCTGGACACTTCGTTAACAGATTGCTCTTATCTGAAGACTGGCATGTAATAAACAATATATGAACACCGAGCGTGCTAAAAAGGCCCGAGAAGTATTTAAAGCCATGTGGTGGGAAAAGTAATGAGGTTAATGCTGTTAACGAATTTAAAGAATGTTTAATTGCCTGAAAAGAACGATAGTACTCGAAAAAAAAAGTCACAGGAAAACAACTTAATTTAGAATATTTTTCTTGTATTAGTATAAAGTGATTAATTTGAGTTATGTCTGTATTCACCCAGGGTGAGTTGAGACGACTCGAACCGGAGCCATTTTAAAGTCTCATGGCTAAAACATCGAACACTGATCCCTGTCAAATAAATGAATGCATAGCGGAATGGGTTTTCATTTTCATTGATTTCTTTATAGTTTTGACTACAAATTTTCCTTTCATCTACACTGTTTCAAGGGACACTTCGACGTCGTGTAATGGTTATCAAGCTTGTCTCACTAGAACAATTACGACTGAGTGGTAAGTTCGATTCTCACTGAGTACCCCACAAGGCCGAATGTATGGGGTACACCAAATTGTAAGAAGCACTTCGATGTAGAGTAATAGTTATAAAGCTTCTCTCGATAGATCAATTACGACAGAGTTGTGAGTTCGATCCTCACTATGTGCTCCATACTTTGGGCCTTGTGCCGTATCTAAGCAACGCTTAAGAAGATTATTTGATACCACGATGTGGTGTAATGGTTAGCAAGCTTATCTTGATAGAACAATTACGACGGAGTAGTGAGTTCGATTCGCACTGGATACCCCCATACTTTCAGCCGCATCTAAGCTGAGCTTAGAATATCACCATCTATACTGGTGGTAGCATGTAAATTTTACTGAAGTGGTTCTCTCTTTTTTACATTCCAAATCTTTCTGTTAAATTAGGAACCTGGTCTATTTCTTAAAAAAAAAATCCATGATTTTTTAAAAATGGATATAAAAAGTCAAGAGTATTTAAGAATTGGTTCTGTGAATTTTTAGTAAATAGTTCCCGCGAATCGTTGATGACCCATTGAACGCAATCACCGACTAGTTGCCCTCCCAAAGTTAAAGAGCTTAATTTGCCCTACGATTTTACCCATATGTTAGCACAAAGTTAGTCGTCTGTTTATAAATACGAACTGTGATCACCTCGCCACGTTACAATTGAAAGCATTTTTTTTTCTCACAGATCGTTGCATGTCTCTTAGAATTTGCTTGTATGTAAGAAAACTGAACTATCATAAAAAAAATTCAAGTTGTGAAAACTCTTGTCAGAAGGGTTTGGGATTGTATACCTGTATATCACCATACTTCACTTCAAAAGGTTAACTAGTGACGTCCGGACATGTACAAATACACAAATAAATGAGTTGACCGTTTATAGCTGAGATACAGTTGTTCTCATTATCTACAGTTTCACTGATCATTGGTCAGCGCATATATATATATATATATATATATATATATATATATATATATATATATATATATATATATATATATATATAAGAGTCATAGTTATTATTCGTTTTGTCTTCGGCTTTGCGTTGTCACGTAGCAGAACATTTTTTCCTATTCATGATCGCAGGACACTTTTAGTCTAAACTTGTATGGACACATTGCAGCTGCTGGATGTATAAATGTGCATTATTGTTTTACCGCGTTTTAAGAATCCTAAAGAAAAAATACCCCGACAATCTATCCACATGAACAACATTAGTTTTCTTCCATTGAACTCAGCTTTTGGGGTTGGTTATGACGATTAATCCTTGTCAATCCACTGCCTTTTAGTGTCGAACATTCTCGTTTTTCTCAACTGTTATGATAATATATATATATATATATATATATATATATATATATATATATATGTTATATCATCTCGCGTGGTCATGTGTGACGTCATGAGCTACGGTGCGATTTTCGCTTCTAGCGTCTTATATGCACGTGTTTATCGTTGCTTGGAAATCATCCATGTAAACAATCACAGACTATCATCACTGTCTTGTCCGTATATTGCATAATATATTGTACAGTAATTGACATCTTTGATAATGGCTTATGTAAGCCGAAAGCTTAAATTGGATTAAAAAGTATGGGATCAATTTTCTGATTGTCTTCGTTTAATGAGAATGTTATTAAGCTTATCAGACGTTATGAAAAGAATTTACATCAAATAAGTAGACAACACTTGTCTATATTATTTAATGAAACATGTATGAATATATATATATATATATATATATATATATATATATATATATATATATATATATATAAGTAGTATTAGTTACAATGATACATTCGTTACTATAATTGTTTCCAAAAATGTGAATTACTTATGAACTCAACTGAAAAGTATATTGTTATGATTATCTTATTATATTACTAATTATTGTTGCTAATATATTGTGCCTAACTTATGAATCAGATTCTTTGTATGTATCCACAGTACATTAAGGATTCGGTTCTATTCGCGGTTTCGGTATCCGCTGGTGTTCCCCGAACATATCCGCAGCGGAAAAGGTGCGTGGAAGAACGACTGTAAGAACGGAAATTTATATACAAGTATCTGTTAAAATAATCAATGTTGATTTTCTTCAAACGAGAAAACAATTCTCATAACTTTTCGCTCTCTTTAGCATTGCCGGGTTGAGCTAATTTTAGTATCTAACTAGACCACCTGTAAACCCGTTGGGTTTCTTTTAAAAGCAGTTCATGATACAAAATGATGAGGTAACAATATTATCAAATTTATTATTAATTACATGTTTTAATTTGTATATAAAGACGGTAAAAGAAGGTTTATTGTTCCACTAGGGTTTCATTGTTAACACACTGCATGAATATTTGAAATAATAGCTTAAAACAGAAAAATAATGGATGTATTTTTTAGTATATTTCTTCTTCGCATTTATTTCAAAATACGTAACGGTAGCAAATCAGCGTGCATCTGTTTACTTATTTACCATCAAGTCAAGTGACATAATATAGCCTCTTCACCTTTCAGGTAATTTTTTTATTAAAATAAAGTTCTAAATGAGTGTAATGAATTATATATTATATTATTTATTATTTTTCACACACATAATGTTTGGAATAGGGCACTTCGACGTGGTGTCACGATTGGCAAGTTTGTCTCGCTGAATCAATTACGACTGAATAGTGAATTCGATCCACAGTGGGTGCTTCACAATTTCGGCCTTGTACCACATCTAAGCTACGCTGAGATAATCATTGGGCTCCTCGACGTGGTGTAATGGTTGGCAAGTTTGTCTCACTAGAACAATTACGATTGAGTAGTGAGTTCGATCCTCACTGGATGCACAATACTTTCGGCCTTGTGCCACATCTAAACCACACTTAGAAAATCACCAAAATAGTTGTAATATAATATGAAAGTCTTTGTTTATATACGCGGATTGATATAAGCTTGTGTATTGAAAACAAATACTGACTTTCCTATTAAAAATACTGCGAAAACAGAAAAACGACCTTAGCTAAAGTACCCCTAGTCGAATTTTAATGACATTTGGTCGTGAGCTCGGCAGGGGATGAAATTGGTTGGTCGTTTAAACAGTATCTCGGGGACACGCATACATACAGGATTAGTGTTTTAGTGTTATATAGATATTGAACCTAATGTAACTATATAACGCCCATATTTAAAATAATGAGATATTCCGTTGTTAGATTACAAGGAGACATTATTGAACGCCAGTAAACGAACATCCTTCGTGTTACTCCAAGAATGAAATATCAGAAAATAAAGACAGATCATGTTGTTAATATATTTCTTTATATTTATTTTAGCTGTCTTCGAATATGAAGGTTTTAATGATTTATAACCAAATTTCTTGTATAAGACCATAGAGTTCACAGTGTAGCTAAAGGCCGAGGTTATTTAGAAAATATATCGAATGAGAGTCGAGTTCGAATTCCAGTCAGATCCGTTACATTCACTTACATGTTAATAACCTTGGAAAAGGTATGAATCCTTTTCTTTCCCCCCACCCCCAACGATGGGTAAATAGCAAGACAGACTGGGCTCTATAGCTTTGAATGGCAACTTGTCTACCGTAGAAAGAAATGGCAACATATTGCGGGAAAAAATCTGTCTCGTCAGTCATGTATCGGGTATCACGCATGGCATATAACTGACTGAATATTAGCTGTTTCCCTACAAGGAAATATTTGGCATTCATTGACTGAGCAGCCAGTACGGCTTTCGGTTAAAATTTATAAAATCTTCCTCTTAAAACAACTTTTCATGTGAATAGGTTTCTCAAGTATCGCTCTTGCCAATAGTGATGTGGTGGGGTCCTTCCTCACCTTTTCTATTAATTGAATATTTTCAACATTTGTGCTAGCAAACTCGTCTATAATTAAAACGATCTTAGGAGACAAAGTCTAAAAAAATTAATAAAACACATACACACAAACCTTATTTAATTCACAACATCTGTGAATGGAATGATTGATTTATTTTTACGGCTTATCAACCTTTTACAAGTTATTTAAAGCCAGAAATACTTTTAGATTGTAAGAATTGTTGGAGATGATAATGATTTGCTGATACATGTTCTAATAATTAACTTATAGCTGGGAGGAGAAGAAGTGAATTCATACATTTCCCAAGGTTATTTAGGCGTAAGTGAATATAACGAACGGCTGGAATTCGAACTCGGCTCTCCAATTAACAATTCCGAGCCGTTATCCATGACACCACCGGCACATCCAAGATTACAACACCTAGTATTCCTACGCGGTCACCCGCCTAGGTACTAACCAGACTGGACGTTATTTAACTTCGGTGATTTTACGGCAACCGGTGTTTCAACGTGATATGGCCATTAATATCTGCGAATGGTTTCAGTATTAAAAAGCTAGAGTTAGCAGTATTACCCAGCTCGTCGACAATCGACCTCAAATGAATTCATTGAAGCAATAAGCAATCAGAAGTACGCCTTATGTTCATCTAACTACCCCCCCACTCCAGGTAACATAAGACAGTAGCAGAATTTCTTCGTGGTACCGGTTAAAACATATATCTTTAAGCACCATGTCAAAAATAACACTGAATATACATATTCTATGATAGTATGTAATGACAAATTGTCTTATAATTAAATTATTGATTCGCTTGTCAAACTTTTTCCATGTTATTTAAAGCCAGAAAATATTTTTTTCTCATTTGTTCTTCAAAGAATTTTATTTATTAATCTTGTTTTTTCAATTGCTTTCGCACTTACATTGTAAGTACAATACAGTATTAGTGGTTGCAATTCCTGTACATTTATTGCAATTATAGCTTACGGCCACATCATTTTGAAACACCTGTTTCTGTAAGATCTCCGAAGTTAGGCAACGTCGAACCTAGTCAATACCTAGATGTGTGACCGCTTGAGGATACCAGGAAATATTTTTTAGATTGTAAGAATTCTATTTTTTTAAGATAATAATGCTTAATACAAGTCTTAATAATTAACCCATAGATGAGAGGGGAAAAGAGATGGATTCATGCCTCTTCCAAGGGTATTTACGCGTATGTGAATACAACAAACTCAATGGGAATTAGAACTCTGCTCTCAGATTATCAAGCCAGAGACATTCATTACACCACCCGCACATCCAAGCTTATAGCATGTGGTATTCTCAAGCGGTCACTCATCTAGTTACTGACCAGGCTCGACGTTGCCTAACTTCGGTCATCGTAGAGGAACAGGTGTTTCAAAATAATGTGGTCGTAAGCTATAATTGCAATAAATGTGCAAGAATTGCAGCTACTGATATTGTATTGTACTTACAATGTAAGTGGGAAAGCAATTGAAAAAAAAACAGCAATATTGATAAATCCAATTCTTTGAAGGACAAATGAAAAACATGAAGGACAGAAAAGAATGGAAGAAAATTGTGAATAATGTTTGAGTTAGTTTTTTTCCTATAACTATTTCAGTTACACGGTGAATCCTGGACAACTTCATCACATGAAAAAAAAAAGATAAGAGTCAACAGAAATCTGGTTCTACAGAAGGATGCTGAGAATACCACGGACTGAACGCGTGAGCATCGACGAAGTTTTAGAGAAAATGTAAAGAAAAATGACACTTATACTTTGCATCAGAAAAAGAGGCAGTTGAATTCTCAAGGAGACATAATGAAGAAAGAAGGATTAGAAAATTTGACACTCACAGGGTATATTAGGGGACAGAAAAAAAGTGACGCATAACCTACCCAACGTATCTGAGTAAATAATTAGCAGGTCTTGGATTAGTGTTATATAGGAATAAAGTGTCGTTGCCGACACTTAAGTTTGAACATAGATCGCCAGTGAGCAAATAGAGGCGATCCCATTATTGAATTAAGTAGATCACGTGACCATAGAGGAAACGCATATATAGGAATTAGCGTGGTGTCTAAACGATCACCAATTTTAGTCTATCCTCTGTTACTATACAGATCACTATTTCTAGTCTATCCTCTATTACTAAACGGATCGCTATTTCTAGTCTATCTTCTATTACTATACGGATCACTCTTTCTATTCTATACTGATCACTACACGGATTACTATTCGGTGGTTACTTTTCGAGCGAGTATTATCGGGCAAGTACTGTTAGTGCGAGTGTTCTTCGAAGGCGTCTGACACCAGTATTGTTCAACGGCGTCACTTATAGTTGTATTTGTGATTATAAAGTCTCTACTACAACGAGCATTACGAAAGTGACAACAAGTATTCATTGACATGACGAAAGTGACAACGGGTGTTTCTTGACATCACAAAAATTAGGATAGATAACAAAAAGGTAAACTTTACTAAGAGGTACAAAGGACAGGAAACTGCGAAGAGTCATGATCGGCCACGTCCGGAAGTGACACAAAACAGAAAAGAAGAATGTATGTTCACGTATAAAACAAAATGTAAGATTTAGCTAAGTTCTTTTTATAAGTGTCAATATCATATATTTTGTGTATAATACGATATGTCTACATGGAATAAATTATATCCTTGAGTATAATACGACCCTGTAGTACCGCCATCCCAATGTAAATTTTTTTGTAAAGTTATCCTATGTTATCCATTAAAATCTCAATGTCTTACATATATTTCACTACGTTTTTTAATTTTTCACTATATTAAAGAATCGAAATTTATTGGATATTCAGCAATTACATGTTTCTTTCTTTCTTTCTTTTTTTTTTTTTTCAAAACTTAATTTTCGGGGAAAGGTGCTAACTAGACATTTTAAGGTGTTAATTATTCTATCATACTTTTCTGTTTGATATGACTTTATTATATTTCTATATATAATTAAATTATGAAAAATAAAATTTCTTTCATTAACCCTGCGTTAGTCACCTCGGATATCTGAAAATGTACAGTCCCCTGTGTTGTTTACACATCCTTATACAAAAATACTTATTGTTACAATTATGTAAAATATTATTGTAGTGCTGAAAAAAATAACAAAAGAATTTGTTACAATATATATTAAATCATAACTTGAACTGAAGATATAATTATTCATTAAAATGAAAATTATAATAAATTTGTTGCATAAACATATGTTGTAAATAGTTGGTGAAACAAACCATTGCAATAATAGAGAAAAGCTTTATTCAACAAAAATAGCCACAATATATTCCTGTGAATAGAAAGATATTATATTAGCTAAACTCATAATTAGCGGACTGAAATAATAATAATAATAATAATAATAATAATAATAATAATAATAATAATAATATATACAGTGTAACCCGGATATAAGAGAGTTGTCGGGACCAGAGAAGAAATCTCTTATATCCGGGTTTCTCTTATATCCGGGTTTGGTCTGTTTTATATACATTAACACAGGCTCTAATTTGGGACCAGAGAAAATCTCTCTTATATCCGGGTTTCTCTTATATCCGGGTTACGCTATTTATATATATATATATATATATATATATATATATATATATATATTATTAATGCATATTTCATTAAATAATATAGACAAGTTTTGTCTATTTATTTTATGTAAATTCTTTTCATATCGTCTGATTTGCTTAATAACATTATCATTGAAAGACGAAAGAAAAAAAATCACTATATTGATACGTGTTTTTTAATCCTATCTAAGCTTTCAGCTTACATAAGCTATCGCTTATATATATATATATGTGTGTGTGTGTGTGTGTGTGTGTGTGTGTGTAAAAAAAACTAGTGAGCCAGAACCTACCTACCAAGGTTTCACCTAACGTACCTTGTTCTACGGATTTTGTTTAACTTAGTGTATTGAGCACTTTTACGTTTTTACTTATTTTACTCTGTCAGTGTTTTTTTCTTTTGACTAGAAGCGGTGCTGATTGATTATTTTCGACCAATACACGGATGTCTTTGGTCTTTTATTTTTTTTACGGCTTTTTTTTTCTGATATCGGTTTGTTCAAATATATTTTGAGTTACAAATTGTATTATCCGGGGTTTTTTTTCACACCGCCCGAGTATAGGTATTAAAATATTATATAGGCACGGTGGAGTAATGGATAGCGGCTTGGATTGAGGAATCCAGTCGAATCCATTACATTCACTTGCGAAAGGTATGAACCCTCTTCTTCTCCCTCCAGCTATGGGTAAATAGCAGGATAGACTGGGATCTATAGCCTTGGATGGCAACTGGTGTAGGACAACTCTGAATTCAAAACCTGTGGAGGGTCGTTTGGGGACCCTGTGGCACGCACACACACACACACGCGCGCGCGCGGCGCGCTCGCGCGTAGTGCCCTGGGTTTCTGTATTCCGCCCTTCAAAATGTCTGGATGGTCCTGCACGAAACCCATGAAACTCTCCAAGTTCTTCACTCCCTTAACCGGCAGTGGAGAACTAAAAGAGGGGAATTAACAGGAGATAACTGATAACTGACATCCATTAAACATGGCACGTGGAACTAGAACAGTCTTCCCCAGTGAGCAAAATAAAGACTTCAGTTCGACATTCCAACCACCTGAAGAAGGCCGGAGCGTACAACGACCGAAACGTTGTAATAAATATGGCGACAAAAATGAGGACAATAGTCCGAATAATGTAAATAGTGTTACTCTGTCGGTGTTTTTACTTTTGACTAGGAATTGCCGTGCTGATTGATTATTTTCGACCAACACGGATGTCATTAGTCTTTTCTTTCTTTTTTTTTTAAATATTTTTTCCCTGATATCGATTTGTTCAAAATATATTTTTTATTTACAAATTGTATTAGCTGATTTTTTTTTCACACCGACCGAGTATAGGTTTTAAAATAATACATAATATATATATATATATATATATATATATATATATATATATATATATATATATATATATATATATATATTACATTACGCCCCGAGCAAGGCGTGAAGCCATTAGGATGCAGGGGGTTGCGGAAGATTTGGAGCGAGAGCAGATAGGAGTGATAGAAGAAAGGATGAGGAGAAGGATAGTGGGTAGATTAGATCAAGGTAACTGGAGGTGTCGATTGACATTACATTTGAATAGTTGGAGATTATAGCTCTCAAGGAAACAGTAATTGGGAAAGGTGTTTCACGGGCGAGAGGTGCGATGTATGAAGCTATTGGAGTAGAAGAGACGGCTACATTTAAAAGTTTCTACAGTGTAAGGGTGGGAGCGGAATGCCATCCTCGTAGGGCGCTTGAATTCATGAAGTCTGGGAACCAGTGAAAGCAGCTCATCAGAGCAATTACAATGAAAGTATTTGTAGAAAAGACAGAGAGAGGCGACGGCGCGTCTGTGAGAGAGTGACTGCAGACGAGACGCCAGATCAGGGCCAATTAGATTACATATATCCGTCTCTGGATCTTGTCAAGAA